AAACTCTATGTTACCTAAGGAAGTGGCTTTCTGGTTAACTAAGGAATAGAGAGACCTATGAACCCTTGCAGATTTATTCAGACCAAGCTAGTCAACACACCCAGCCTCACTACCCAGACAAGTTTCCATATGGAGCCAAAGGAGGCTGGGTCTAGCCCAGTTAAGTGCTGGAGTATACGTATGGAATAGTCTTTCTATAAGGTATTCATTCCAACATCAAACATAAACTAGCAGAAAATGGCCTCAGTCAAGGCCACTCCTTAATGTTTGTATCCTCAGCACTGACTACAATGCTTGGCACATAGTAGGTGCTTAATAAATTCTTGTTACTTGGTTTTTTATGTCTATACAATTCCCTCCTCATCTCTGCCTCTCAAGGTTATTTTCCTCTAAAACATCAGTTTTCCTGAACTTCCTTATTCCTGTTAGGGATAACACTACCCTTCTATCATCAAAGTTCTCAAGTTTATCTTTAATACCTGATTGTCCCTCAGCTTACAAATCTAAATCAAATTTAATGTTTTGTTACTTGGACCTCTACATCTTTCTCATTCCATCCCCTCCTCTACACATAAACAGGATCATCAGGTCCTCATCATTTCTCCATTGAACCATTGCAATAGTCTTCTAATTGAGTCTCTACTCCTTCCAAGCCATCTTTTACGTAGCTGCCAAAGTGATATTTCTAAAGCACAAGGGTCAGACCATGTTCACTCCCCCATTCTCAATAAAAGTCCAATGGCTTCCTATGACTTCTAGAATCAAACACAAATGCCTCTTTTGACAATTAAAGGCTCTAACCTACCTTTCGAGTTTTATTATATATAATTCTCCTTCATGCATTTTACATTCCAGTCAAATTGACCCTGTACTCCTCACACATGGTATCTCAACTCCTGTCTCCTTGCTCAGCACTCCCCTTTACTTGGAATGAATGTATTCCGATTCCCCAAAAAGTCTCCTTCTCAGATACCATCCTACATCCCGCCTTTCCTGTTCCCCCTAGCTACTAGTTGGTTAATCTCCTCAAAAACACCTTATATTTGTTTCACATATATTTTTAAGTGTAATCAGTGACTCCCTCGAATAGAATGTAAGCTCCTTGAGGACAGAAATAATTTTATTTTTGTGCATCAGTGCCTAGCAGGTAGTAAGCAATTAACAAATGCGTATTGATTGATGAGATGTTTTCTGGAAACAACCAAAAGAAGGTGGATGCTTAACCTGTGTGGAGTCAAAATCAAGATGGAACTAAAAAGCGATGAAGTTCATTTTCTTGCATGGGTCATAAACTGACACTGAAAGCAATTTCAAAACAAGATCTACAAAAAAGTCTGGAAGAAGAATGTTATTACCAGAATAAGTACAATGCCTTTGACATCAACCCACTTTGAAAGACAATACCCACTGAAATATTTAAGTTCCTTTTTGTTTACAAGCCAATTTCAATTAACTATATGCACACTTAATATTCTTACTTATGTCTTTAACGATATTTAAGGGCACTTCAATATGATTAAACCATAGGGCTGGCTCTCTGCTAAGTTTTTACCTCAATGAATGATCCCAGGGTAAAGGTGAACTTAGGTTCTAAAAGAACACAGCAATAGCTCACAAAATCTGGGTAGATACTAGACCAAGCTGCAAAGGCTTTAAGTACAAACCATCTTGAGTGCATGTGCATCAGCCTAGGAATATTCTAAATCAGGCAAGCTCATCACAAGACTGGTCACCAGTTGAACTTTAACCAAAGTAAATAATAAAGATTATCTAATATGGAGTGAAAGGACTGTAATTGGCATTGGTGAATTATGCATGCATGGGGGTAAAATCATGAATTTCTGTAAGGTACTGTATAAGAGTAGCAGTTTACATTTATATTGCACTTCAAAACATTTTATATATAATTATCTCATTTAATCCTTACAGAAACAATTTGAGATAGGTAGCTGAAATATTATTACCCTCATAATACAGATAAAGAAACTAGGACTCAGCAAGTTTAAGGTGACACCTGCTAAGCTGAGTTAGGACTGGAATCAAAGTCTTCTGACCCCAAATCCACATCATTCTCTCTTTTCCTTATCTTTCTCCCTCCTAAACCTATTCTTCATTCTCACTTTGACAACAGTCCATCCCTCAGCATGTTCTAGCACCTACTCTGCTCTGGCTTCAATTTCTTCTCTTTCCAGTCTAGACCTTTTAGTTAACAATATGTACTCCACACCATCCTCTATTCTTGATCCCTCTGCCCCTTGTCCTAGTGTTGTTCAATCCTTGGTAAACTCCAACTATGAATTACTTCCATCATGTGCCTCCCTACTCATATGTTGCTGAAACAAACCTAGAAGAAAGCAGCAACCATGCTGCTAGGAGCCACTATAAATTTATATTATCTAATCTCAACTGTATCCTCATTTCAGTGAGGCAGTCACTGTACTACTACTTAGTTGATTCTCCATTCCATTCAGTTACAAAACTTCTCTCCTCCAACATCCCTTATCACCTCCTCTCCTCACTCTCTCAGCTAAGGGCAACAACACCTCATTCTTTACTGAGAAAATAAAGACCATTCACCTCTGAACTCTCTTCAACCTTAATCTGTCATCTCAAAACCTCTTCAATATCATCTCCCATTCCTTCCACCTTTACTCCCTTCACTAATGATGATGTGGCCAATCCCTTCCTATATTCTCTAAGAGACAGCATCTATTATCCTATCTTCACTTTTAGTCATCATTCAACTATATCTGCCGTCTCCAAAGTTACCAATGACCTCAATTTCAAAATGTAATCGCCCTTTCTCAGAAGTCACTCTTCATGACCTCTTTGCATCCTTTTTCATCATCTCCTGGACACTCACTCCTTTCTCAGCTTCCATGACACCGTTTTGGTTTACTGTTCATCTTCAGTCTCCTTTGTTTTCTTCATTTATGCCATGCCCATTAATCATGAGTATCCCCCAAACCTTTGACTTGGGCCCTCTTCTTTTTTTTCTCTCTATATCTTGCCTGTTAATCCTAGCAGCTCCCACAAATTCAACTTTAATTTTTATGTAGATCACTCCATATCTATGAAGCTAGTCCAGTTTCTCTTCCAAACTACAGTTCTTTATCACCTACTGCCTTTTGGACATCTCACACTTGATGCTCCATGATTCTCAAACTCACTTTTCCACCCAAATCCTCATTTCTTTACTTCTTTATTAGTCAAGGGCACCACCCTCCCAGTTACCAAGGTCATCTTGGTGGCATCCCCAACTCCTCCCTCTCACTCCACATAATCTATTGTCAAATATTGTTATTTCTACCTTCACACCTCTCTGTCCATTCACACAGCTACCACTCTAGTTCAAGCCCTCATGCACACTGGCCTGAACTACTGACAGAGTCTTTTTGGCTGCAAAGGTGACTGACCCCTGCTGAATGAGATTCAGTATTTCCCTTTTACCTTCAGGATCAAATATAAAATCCTCTGTTTGGCTTTTAAAATTTTTCATAACCTGGCTCCCTCCCCACCTTTCCAGGGCCACTTTCCTTTCTTAAAGTACCTTAAAATCCAGCTATAAGTAGCCTACTTACAGTTCCTTGTATAAGACACTCAGTCTCTGCACTGTCTTTCATAGCTGGAAAGCACTCAGTCAGTGTCAAGGCCTGTTACATCTCTCATATATGCCCCTTCTTTCCTCTGATATTACCATCACCCTGGTATAGGCTCTCATCTTCTCATGCCTGCACTACTGCAAGAGTAGACTGGCTGGTCTTCGGGCCACAAGTCTCTCCCCCCTGCAGTCTGTCCTCCATTTAGCTGCCAAAATGATTTTCCTAAAGCTCTGGGCCAATCATTTCACCCCTTACTCAATAAACTCCAGTGATTACCTATCATGTCCAGAATCAAATACAAAATCCAGTTTGGCATTCAAAGCCCTTCATAACCTAGACTCCACCAACCTTTCTGGTCTCCTTACGCCTTACATCCCTTCCCAAATCCATCTCCCATACCCCACCACATATTCTTCAATCCAGTGACACCAGCCTCCGTGCTGTTCTTTGAACAAGACACTATCTCCTGGCTTCAAGGATTTTCTCCAGCTGTCCCTCATGCCTGGAATATTCTCCTTCTTCCTCTTCCCCGCCCCCATCATAGTTTCCCTGGCTTCCTTCGAGGAACAGCTAAAATACTAACTTCTACAAGAAGCCTTTCCTAATCCCTCTTAATTCTAATGACTTCCCTGTGTTATTTCCAGTGTATCTTGTATATAGCTTTCTGTACACAGTTGTTTGCAGGATGTCTTCCCCCATGAGACTGTGAGATCCTCATGGCCAGAGGCTGTTTTTTCCTTTTCTTTGTATCCCCAGCACTTAGCTTAGTGCCTGGCATAGTAAGCTCTTAATAAATGCTTAACGACTGACTTCTGGCTATCAGAATCCCTGGTTTCCTTTAAGTCTCACCTCAAGTTTTCGTCATGAAGCCTTTCCCCATTCCTTCTGCTGCTAGTACCTCCTTCCCAATCACTGGCATCTATTTGGTATATTTCGTATAGCAAGGGCTATTTCACTTTTACCTTGGTATCATCTGACTCACAGTAGCCACTTAATTAAAGCTTACTGATTAAATGATTAAATAAACTATGAAAGCTTACAAAAGTTTTTTTTTTAAATCTTAAAGGCCTCAAATCCAAGAATGCTCCAGAACCTATTAACCTTATTTTCAAAAGGATAAAAATGGGTTGTCCTTTAAATTTCTCCGGGAAAACTGAAGAAAATCGAAAAGATAAAACTACGGGGCATAACGGATAGACAGCTGACCTGAAATCCTGGAAGACCCAGGGTTACCCAAGGTGCAGCGAAATCATCCCAGAACACATAAAACATAAGTCTGGAGGGTCATCTGGAAGATCAAAGAGCCTCTCCTAATCAGACTGATTGCATGCAAATACCTAGGAGGACACTCTTGATAAACGCCTTTCATTCATCCTCCGCCCCAACTCCAGTACTTACAAGCTGAGTGACGTCGGTCAAGTCACTTAATGTCTCTGATCGAGTCTTGGGGCAGCAAAGGGGCCACCTGCAAGGGGAGAGGGAGTCCCTTAGTCCGGTGAATCGCAGTCCTGGGGGAATCCTCAGGAGGAGGTCGGCTAAAGGGCTCCCGCAGGACGGGGGTCCGAGGGGTGGGCGCCTCGCAGGAGCAGCCCCGCCCGTCCTGCCACGTCTCCAGGCTCTCTCCCTCCCGCACCCGCCGCCAAGTCACCCCTTAATTAGCTTCAGGCCCTGTCGAGGCTCCGTCTCCGAACGTCTTCGAAGTCCCCCTACCCCGGCGCCCCGCTGTGACGCCCCCCCTGGGCCAGGCAGCCCCCCCACCACGAGCCCCCCGCGCCCGGGTGGCGGCCCCCAGACCCGCCCCGCCCGGGGTGCCCGGCGGGAGTTGGGGTCCCGTCAGCCCCACGGGGCTCACCTGAGGTCGAGGCGGCGGGGGGCGGGACGAGGGTCGGGTGCAGAGCAGCGGGCCCAGCCGATCGCCCAGGCTGCCCGGGTCCGAGGGGCGCCCAGAGCAGCCTCCTCCGCGTCCAAAATGGCCGGCGGCAGTGACGCGCCCCGCCACGTCAGCCTCGCCGCCCTTCCTCCCCCGGCCCGGGCCGCGCCGAGCAGGGCAGCAGCGTCCGGGCGCGGGACGTGGCGGGCCGGGCCGGGGCGAGCGGGGCGGGGGGGGGGGGGGGGGGGGGGGGGCCCGGGGGGGGGGGCGAGGGGGGGGGGGGCCGCGGAGCGCGGGACGTGGCGGGCCGAGCCGCTCCTAGCGGGGCCGGCCGCGGGGTGCCAGCGTCACCCCGCCAGCGCGGGGGTGACCGAGAGGCCAAGGGCCGATGGTGCGCCGCGGGGAGGAAGCTCAAGCCGTGCCCCCGGCTCCCGTATGTGAATGCTGCCTGCCCGGAGATCTCCCCCCGACAAAGGTGCCTTCCTTCCTAATCTCCTGCAGAAGCTGCTTGAATTTGGGTCACAGATGAGAGCTACACGGGATCCCCTCTGAAGCTTCCACGGGGAAAGTGAGCCGGACCAGGAGGACCTTGCACACACACACACACAGCCCCAGCCAGCACGTGTGCGATGACTGACTGACGGACCAAGCGAGGGTCCCAGACATCTCCGAAGGGCCCATGATGGAAAATGCCATCCACCTCCAGAGAAAGGACGACTAAATCTGAATGCCCATGGAAGCGAACTGTGGGCTCTCTTTTTTTATTTTTTTGTTTTTTTTTTTTTGTTTCTTCTTTCTTTTGATTCTTCCCATTGGTTCTAATTCTTCTTACAACATCACTAATGTGAAAATATGTTTGATAGGAATGTATATGTATAAACTATATCAGATTGCCCGCCCTCGGGGAGGGAGGGGAAGAAAATTTAAAACTCAGAAGCTTATGGAAGTGAATGTTGAAAACTAAAAATAAATAAATTATAAAAAAAATTAAAATTAAAAAAAGATACATACAAGATACATTGGGAGTCATCTCAGAGGGAAAGCGCTAAGGTTAAGGACTGGCAAAAGCTTCTTGAAAGTGGGACTTCCAGAGATGAGGAGGGAGAATGTTCCAGGCATTGAGGAGAGCCAGTGAAAATGCTTGGAGTAAGAAGATGGGATGCCATGGGTGACACTGCCTTCATTTCATTGTTTCACACTTCCCACTAACTCTGGGATATCCATTAGTTCATATTTCATTTAACAAAGAATTTTTGTGGTTCTGAAACACCAACAAATATAAATATTTCCATTTACAAATGCAGGCTCTAATTTCTTTCCACCTATTCTCTGCCCCTTTTCAACTCCCACTTTGGCAGATTCAGAATCTAGAAAGCAATTAATTACTTTACCCCAATATCTATTATCAGTTGCTATCAATTACGCAGTTGAGTCAATTAGCTTTTTTTGTAACTTTATTAATTTATTTTGATTTATCAATAATCACTTCCATATGCTTTTGAGTTTAAAATTTTTCTCCCCCTTCCTCCCCACCATCCTCCCCAAGAGGGTGCACAATCTGATATAGGTTATACATTTACATTCCTATTAAACATTTTCACATTAGTGATGTTGTAAGTAAAAATTAAAACTAAGAGGAAGAACCATCAGAAAGAGGAAACAAAGCAACAGAAGAGAAAAAAAATAGCAATTCAACATCCATAGTTCTTTCTTTGGATGTGGATAGCATTTTCCATCACAAGGCTTCTGAAGATGTCTTAGATCTTTGTATTGCTGGGAAGAGTTAAGTTTTTCACTATTAGTCATCACACAATGTGGCTGTTATTGTGTACAATGTCTTGGTTCTGCTCACTTCACTCGGCATTAGACCATGCAAGTCTTTCCAGGTTTTTCTGAAGTCAGTCTGTTCATCATTTCTTATGACAATAGTATTCCATTACATTCATATACCACAACTTGCTCAGCCATTCCCCAATTGATTGCCATCCTCTCAATTCCAATTCTTAGTCAATTAGCTTTTTAAAAGGAGTATTTTCTAATATGGTAGGGTAAAAATAAAAGTCTGGGATACAGTACCACAAGTATATACAAAGTTCATGGAAAGGTGAGCTTAAGCTTGGAGAGCACAGGTAGCAAAGAGAAGACTCACAACTTCTGGTCTAATGAAAGTCCTTTCCTCCATTCCTGGAGTCTTTAAGAAGTGCTCCTGAGGTTGTAGCTCTCTGCTGGGCCATGAAGCTCAGGGTCTTCAGAGAGTCTTGAAGTTTGATTTCTTTCTGCCTGGAAGAAAATTCTCTGAAGGTGCCTTTCCTCGGAATATTGTGTTTATCTTCTCTCATTTTCCAGCTGAATATATTGTTTATTATTGATCTAGTATTTCCAGTGACATGGTCCATGGAGAGAGAGGTGCTGAGAAGAATAGGGTGATGCTCTTTCTGGGCTATCTTCCCCAGGCAGCAGCTGGGTAACTTGAAAGGGTCTGATACCTCAAAGTGCTCCCATACCTTAAATGTCAAAGCAGTTGCTGAAATCTCTTTTTCTGATTAGTCCCAGAGAAATGTCTAATTCTTTCAAACCATTCCAATATATTTTGTCATCAGATTCCATCCAGTTACTAGGAGCATTTCACTCCTTCCAAATTGAGTAGGTTGTTTGATCTCAACCTCCTTATGCTTTTGAATAATGGATTGATTGAATCAATAGAGTATCTGGGAATTGTTCACAACTATTTTATACCTTTGATTCTGTAATTCAGTCTAAGAGACTAATCACCCAATAAAAGTATTGCTTTCTACAGCTTCTATAGCATATAGTTACATTAGTTGAAGTTGGCAGGTGTAAAACAACCCTTTTGTTGGCCTGGAGGTACTGGAGAGGTGTGGGTTAATACCTACCCCCCCAGTTTTCCATATATACACCAGCCAGAACTATTGCAAGTAAAGAAGTTATGGTAGGGCAGTTAAGATTAACTTTGCCACCAAGAGGATTGATCTGGGATCCAGCTGTGGGCCCTTTGGTCTAGGAAAATATAAAAGTTCTTTTTGAAATTTAGCTGGGACCACTCCTAAGAATTCAGATAATTTGCATGCTAACTGCTTCTTGTCAGTGACTTTTATTTATTTTTAACTCCTGGACTGCTTTAAACTGCGTGAGAATTGCTTCAGAATATGATTAGTGAAATATGATAAAGTGAAAGGACTGTTTAAACGCTTTAGCACTGGTTGATCATTTGTACTAGAAGCAGGATTGGAACTCAGACATGTCTCTCTCTTGTGCAAAGAAAAACAGTATGTAAAAGTATGTTTCTGCACTGTGTAGATCATTATCCCCTAATCTGCCTGCTTAATCTGTGTTGTCTTCTTGACCTATAGATCTCTTCTGTGAGTTTTCTTTAAATGCTTGATTGATGCTATTTCCTTCCTGTTTCTTGGTACTGCTATCACTCAGGCTCCTGCTCACACCCATTTCTCCACAGTCTCCTGCCCCTCCCCGCCAAGAACCCTTCTTCCTTATAACAAGGTAGCATATTCAAGAAAAAGAAATTTACTTGTTGGCCATATATAAAAACATTTTGTATCTGTAGTCCACCATTTCTCTGTCAAGATATGAGAAGCATGCTCACAGCAAAGATTAGAGTTCTTAGTCTTTCAAAGTTATTTTCCTTTACAAAACTGTAATGACATAAATAGTTCTTTGTATTCTGTTCACCTTACTATGCATCAGTTCAAACAAGTATTCCTAGGTTTGTCTGAATCTATGTCTTACATAATTTCTTATGGCACAATAATATTCCATTATATTTATATGCTTCAATTTGCTCAACCAATCCTCAGAAGATATGCACACACTTTGTTTCTACCTTGCTGCAACAAAAGGTGCTACTATTAATATTTTGCTATGTATAGGTCCTTTCCCTCTTTTTTTTTTAAACAAAATTTCTTTGGAATATATGCTTTGTACGGCTATCACTGGGTCCAAAAGTATGCACACTTTAGTGACTTTTTGTGTGTAGCTTGTACATTGTGGCCCTCTCTCTGAGAGCCAGACTGTTAGACCTTCCCCTGGAGATGTAACTGCCCAGAGAAGGTTCTAAGGCCTTTTTCCCTTACAAGCTTGTCTCTCATCTGATGAAGTAAGCCAAGGAGTCCAGCTATGAACAGAGCTACTGAAAGGACTAAGGAAAAAGACAGATGGCAGAAGATGACTAGGATCTTTTGAATACTTCAGTGACCATTCAACCTTCCTTTTACCATGTGATTAACAGACTAGAGACAGTAAGAGAATGTTTATGCATGTACCACAGTCTCTCCTAGGTACTTCCTTTATACATCATCACAACTGTCCCAGAATCAGGCTCTTAAGAGATACCATCTAATGCACTTTGTGTGTATTCCAGGCCCTCATTATATGTATATAGTTCCAAACTGAATTCTAGAATGGTTGGAGTGCTTGAAATGGTTGGAGTGCTATCAGCAGTATATTAGTGTGTCTATCATCATCTACAGCTACCAACAATTGTCATTTTCCCTTTTTTTTGGTTCTCTTTGACAATCTGATAAATGTAAAGTACATTTCTCTTATTAGTGATTTGGAGCTTTTTAAAAATTATATTTGGTGATAGCTAGCTCTTCTTTTGAGATTGCTTGTTCATATCCTTTGATAGATAACCATTGGGAAATAATGATTCTTGTTCTTATATACCTAATTCACTATGTATCTTGTATATCAGACTTTTATCAGAGAAATGCTGCAAAAAATTTTTTCGAGTTAACTATTGCACTTCTAATTTTAGTTGTATTGATTTAATTTGTGCAAAAACTTTTTAATTTTTTATATTCAAAATGTTTATTTTATCCTTAGAGATAATGAAGTGGTCCTCATGACATATGGGGGTTATGCCCACTTTCTTTGATGCAGCCAATAGTGATTTTTCATCTCTGTGATGCTAACCAATTAGATTGTTTCTGTTCTGATATTTGTTCTATGCTTATAAAAATGTATTGCACCCTCAATTTGGGGTCTTTTTACTATTTGAAGGGTCAAAAGATCTGCTTTATTAGTGGATAG